ACGGGTGTTTTGACTAATGGACTTGAATTAGACTGAAAGCAGGAAGGACTCTAGAATATATTGGGTGTCATGGATCATCTTCGGTTGTCTCCTCGCTCTCATAGATGACATCAATCTTGCTGTCTTGAAACTCGGATATGCTTACGAGATTAAACCTGTCACTAAGATATGTTTACAGGATAAATGGAGGATGAGTATTCCAGTGAAGTTCTGGTTTGATCCTTTGATGCACTGTAGCTGGAACTGTGATCAATTGAGACAATTGTGGCACATGCTGATTGTTGATGCTAAGAGAACAGTTGTTTAAACGATATATATCCGAAGGAAACAAAAGAAACCTGATTTTGCCTGCGAAAACCAACTTGCGGCTACACATTAGAGTATATGAATTTAGGTGTCATTAATGTTTCAAAAATCACTTGGTAGATTAATGGACCTAATTTTGTAACAAATTGTTCAGAGTAAATGAATTCCACGTATATCTCCGATACTATTGTGTTATATGATGTACCATGATTTTTTTTTCTGAAACACAATTAAGTGAGAAATTTGCTTTAAGCAAGGTTTAGTTTATGCTGAAGATGAAAGAGAGAAATATGTGATGGAAACAAGAAAACATTAACATTTAGTACGCAGCTGTTATTGTGCATAAATTAGATATACATCGAAGTCCTTCTCGGTTGTCTATTATTGTTTGATCAACTATTGTTTTATTCCTTGAAAATATTTTTTATAGTTTGAAAAAAGGTTGAATAATGTTTATTGAAGTCTGTTTAGTCCAGTTGTTTATTGACTCTGTTTGATTCAGTTAAAGTCATATAGAGTTTTATTTAATATTTATTTATTATTAAGTGTCCATGGTGGATCCTAGGTGGAACTCTATAAATAGTGATGTAACCCTTACTTTTAATGAATCAATCAATCACTGAAATATTATTCCAGTTTGTTATGATAAACCCTAGGAGGTCGATCCCCTCAAAGCGATCAAGGAGGCCAATCCCCTTAAAGTGATCAAGGGAACTGATCCTCTCGAAGAAGTTGCGGCCACCCCTGCTTCCCCTGCTTTCGGCCTGCCCACCCGCCACCGCTGCTCTGGTCAACGATCACTGTCGCTGTTGCTTCCCGACCGACGGACCACCACTACCACCGCTATTGCTCAGCCAACAGCCACCACCACTGCTGCCTCCTTCTCCACCATCGCCCCTCTCCCCTTGCGTCGCAGCCCTAGCCGCTCGACCTCCCCTCCTCGACGATCGTTGGTGCACTGCTCCCAACCGCGCCACCACCATTGCCTCCTCCACCGCCGCCCGCCTCCCCTTGGGTCGCAACCGCTGGTTGCCTCTCTCCTCGCGGTGACTGAAACAGGGCAACTCACCGATTGCCCTTGTTCCCAACCGCGCCACCACCGTTGCCTCCTTCTCCACCGCCACCCACCTCCCCTTGGGTCGCAGCTGCAGCCGCTAGTTGCCTCTCTCCTCGCAGCGACCGAAATTGGGCAACTCACCGATTGCCCTTGTTCCCAGTAGCGCCACCACCGTTGCCTCCTTCTCCACCGCCGCCCGCCTCCCCTTGGGTCACAACCTCAGCCGCTGGTTGCCTCTCTCCTCGCGGTGACCGAAACAGGGCAACTCACCGCAGCAAGTACGCTGCCCTACCTCACACACCACCGATTCCTCTTCTTAACCCCGTTCGCTTCAACGCCGCCTCCCCCTCGACATCCACCTCCTCGGCAACTTTGCAACGACAGTGCTGATGCCCTTGACCGACACCAGAAATAAGAGTTGAGATTATCGATTTGCAGTCATATGCAATGACTACTGATAATTCAGTGAAAGCACAAATGAAAGCGTTGAGAACCAGAATTGAGAATCGGCTAATGGAAGAATTGGAAACCAGAATTAAGAATCGGCTACAAGAAACCCTTCATGATTTCAAAAAAAGCTTGTTGGAGCACTTTAGTAGGTTTCAACAAGATATGAGCTAAAGTTCTATGTTGCATAGATATGGAAATACAAGAAAAGGGCCCCAAGATTGTGACACAAACTACTCACACATGAAGGTGAAATTTCCGAGATGGGAAGATGGGGATTCAACTAATTGGATCTCTAGGGTGGAAATTTTTTTTCGTTTTCATAGAACCTTATAAGAATCCAAGGTAGAAGTGGCCTTAATCCAGCTCGATGGAGATGCAATCCAATGGTACAATTGGTATAAAACTTTCCATGGAGTTCCTTCGTGGAAGCAGTTCAAACGAGGGCTTATTGTTCGCTTCGACACATCAAAATATGAGAATGTTGATGGACAGCTCGTCAAAATTCGTTAGACTTCTACAGTGTTGGAATATCAAAGTAGGTTTGAAAGATTATCAAATTAAGCTAGAGATTGGTCAAAACGATAACTTCTGGGTACACTTATTGAAGGGATTAATCCAGAGATTCAGTGTGAAGTTAAGGATCGTCAACCCCGCATCATGATAGTTGCGATTTCATTTGCACGCCTGCATGAGGAAAAAATCAACTTGGAATACCGTCGAAACAAATGTGTCAATAAATAAGTGATCGGCAAGCCACTCGCCCCATCTATTCCCAACCAAGGGCAACTTCTGATGATTGAACCAATTGGAGAGGAACCGGAAGTAGAAGAGTTGGACTCTGATCATGAAAGTGTGGGAACTGATGAAGATATTGAAGCTAGCACACATATAATACATGCATTAGCTGGCTATGCTAACCTACAAACTATGAAAATTGGAGGAACTTTGAAACATCAACATGTCACTATTTTGACTGATACGGGTAACACTAATAATTTTATGGACAGGAAAGTTACAGGCCGATTAGCCTACCACATTGAAGGCTATGACATATTTGAAGTAAAGATCGCTGAAGGACGGATTTTAACTTATGATAGCAAATGTTCATAGATAAAATTGATTATACAGGCCAGGAGTTTCTTGCAACAATTACTATACTAAAAAATCGACTTGTTGTTTACACTATCAAAAAGTGGAGACTATACTTGATCAACGAACTGTGATGCGTTGTAGATAGCCTATAACTGAAGTGCTGAAAGAAAAACTCCCTGAGTTGATGTTGCTCAACCTTCATGACAAGGTTGATTTGAAGATGGAGGAATTGTTACGACCATTTTTTTGAGCTTTTGAATCATGTTTATTGAGTCTGTTTAGTTCAGTTGTTTATTGAGTCTGTTTGATTCAATTAGAGATTTATTTAATATTTATTTATTATTAAGAGTCCAAGTCGTAGTGGATCCTAAGTGGAACTCTATAAATAGTAATGTAACCCTTTCTTTTAATGAATCAATCAATCACTAAAATATTATTCTAGTTTGTTATGACAAACCCTAGGAGGCCGATCCTCTTGAAACAATCAAAGAGACGGATCCCCTCAAAGCGAACATTCTCTTTCCTATTCTTTCTTTGACGATAAGACCTTGGGATTTTATCTTACCCATGAAAGTCTTAATTATTTTGAGGTTCTAAACAAAGCAAAGTTGTCCCTTCCTGTCCAATTTATTACATAATATAAGCATTTGATTCTGAACTTGCTTTTGTTGTTGAAGGACATGAAACATCTTAAAAATATAATTGCTCACCGGTGCTGATTTCCAGTTGTTAAAACATATGTTCCATTTTGTGCTAATTTTTTACATTGTTCCAACCCTTGGCAAACTAACCTCTTTCTTCTGCTATCACATTCTAAGTTCTGACAGAAGCTAAATTGCATCTCACAGCTATATTTTGTCTTGCTGGCTGGATTATCTAAAATATAATTCCCAAGAGAAATAAGGTTGATGATCTCTTGATCAAGTTCACAAATTCTCTCATCACAATTTCCCTACCAAAACACTCTGGAATTGTGTTCCAGTTCTCCAAATACAGCTAGCAACTCACAAACCCAATCATTTTATCTTTTTAAGAAAAAAATTATATATATATATATATATATATATATGTATATACATATATATCTATATATATGTATATACATATATATATATGTATATACATATATATATATGTATATACATATATATATATATAATATGTATATATATATATATTATATATATATATATATATATATATATATATATATATGTATATATATATATATATATATGCAAAAGCTCTAGTTTTAAGGTGTCAAATTGATATTTTGGTAATCATAGAACATATCAATTTGGAGTTATCTTTCATTCATAAGGTCTCAAAAACAAGTTGTTGATTGTATAAATTCAAGTTTGTATTATTTATTTATGAAAAGCTAAGTTGTTAATTGATTTTTTACTTAATATTTTAAAATGTCGATATACCTACATACATCAGATTCGAAGTTTCTCACGTACGTGGGTCTGATACTCGAACCGACAATCCATACTCAAAAGCATCGAGAGAATCATCATCTTCACTTTTCATCGTATCCTGCTTGTCCTTTCGTCGAATGGAATTGGTGGCGGTGGACATCTCACATACCATGAGTGGAAGAAGTTGGTGATCTTGTGGCCATGAGAAGATGTCGGAGTCGTAGACACCACATTGCCTATTTTTGTGTTACTTGAGTTCCTAACCAACGGTTCAAATCAAATTCTGCTTCCCGAAAGAAGAGGTCAAGCAAAGATCTGTGTTTCCAGGCTGAAAATTTTAGCTTAGAGGCAGCAGCTTCTGTTTCAGAAGGATATAACAAGCTTGTGGTCGTAGAGGCCCATGTTTGATCTTAGCTTCTCATTTAATTGGCCCTTTGATTTGGTTTCTAATCCTCACTCGAAAGATTGCCATCTCCTCTTCACCCCCTCGAGAGAATTCCTGGTAACCTAACCTCTTCTGTCCCTTCCATATCTTGTTTCTAATCATTCCAATATGTTAGTCGAAGTGTAATCTTCCTTGGACATGAAAAGTTGCTGCTGCATGTATTTTAGCTCCGTTCGTATGTTATTGAATGCTTCATTATGCTAAGTAGATGATCTTATTGGAACTCAGTTCATGCGTTCGGAACATGTCTTCCTAAAGCATGTCAGTTTGCCATGGATGGCACAATAACAAGCTCTTGCAACTGCAATCTACATTCCAATTGATGAAGGAAGCTTCATAGGCTCTTTCTTCCTTCTCATGCACCATCACTCCTACTAGTACTAACTACTTTTTGACTGCTTCCTTATGCTGAGTAGATCCTAAATGACGACCGAAGAATTGAAGCCCAGCAAC